AGGGAATAATGGGAGCAGCTGCATCAGGTTGTGGACCAGTGCTGCCACCTATTGGGTCCGAGGAAAATAAGTACTCTTTTCTCGCTCTCTGGCCTCTGCCAGGCAGAATGGACTTGGTGGTCCAGGAAGGGGGGTAACGGGCTGGAAAGGGGTGATTAAGGCAGTCTGCTGACCCTTCTCACTTTCCTCCTGGTGCCAGCTTCGGGCAGGTCACGTGGTGCTGAGCGTGGAGGGCACAGGACTCCAGGCCTCCTCCCTCCGCCTGGAGCCAGGCCGGGCCAATGATGGCGACTGGCACCATGCACAGCTGGCACTGGGAGCCAGCGGGGGGCCCGGCCATGCCATCCTGTCCTTCGACTATGGGCAGCAGAGAGTAGAGGGCAACCTAGGCCCCCGGCTTCACGGCCTGCACCTGAGCAACATAACAGTGGGGGGCGTGCCTGGGCCGGCCAGCGGGGTGACCCGTGGTTTCCGGGGCTGTTTGCAGGTGAGCGTCTCCCCCTGCCCTCCCACCCCCACCCCCTGCAGCCCTGCTCCACTGAGGGCCAGCGCTGCCCCTGTCTCCCCAGGGTGTGCGGGTAAGCGAGATGCCCAAGGGTGTGAGCAGTCTGGACCCCAGCCGAGGAGAGAGCATCAATGTGGAGCCAGGCTGTAGCCTGCCTGATCCCTGTGACTCGAACCCGTGTCCGGCCAACAGCTACTGCAGCAACGACTGGGACAGCTATTCCTGTAGCTGTGATCCAGGTGTGCTTGGGGTCCGGGGCAACGGGCAGGTTAGCAAGTGCCTGGGGCCAATCACATCATCTCTCTGAGCCTGAGTCTCCTTCACTGCAAAGCTACAGCCAGCTGATGCAAGGAAGGGAGTAGATGCAGGTGGGTCTGATGGGAGGCCATGCTGGGGAGGGTGGGGACTGAGCCACTCTTCTCCTTCTGGCCCCAGGCTACTATGGCGACAACTGCACTAACGTGTGTGACCTGAACCCGTGTGAGCACCAGTCCGTGTGTACCCGCAAGCCCAGTGCCCCTCACGGCTATCATTGCGAGTGTCCCCCAAATTACCTCGGGCCATACTGTGAGACCAGGTAAGTGGACCAGGACATGCAGCAGCAGGTCACAGTGACTGTGTCCCACAAAGCCTGGCTGACCCACGGCCAGCGTCAGGAGGGCCACGTGTGACTAACCTGGTGGGAATGGCAGAGGAGCTCACACCAGCCTGGGCCCTTCTCTGCAGGATCGACCAGCCTTGTCCCCGTGGCTGGTGGGGACACCCCACATGCGGCCCATGCAACTGTGATGCCAGCAAAGGCTTTGACCCGGACTGCAACAAGACAAGCGGCGAGTGCCACTGCAAGGTGACAGCCCCCGCAAGCCTCCCCTTGGCCACTTGGGCCTGTGTACACCTCCTGGGCCCTAGAGGGTGCAGTAGAGACATGCCTTCCTGCAGACAGCTGAGGGCTGTGTGCCTCTCTGTAGCAGGCAGGGCAATTGACTATTTTTGTTCATGTGTGTGAAGGGCGAGGGGTTCAGGACGGCATTTAGCCCCAGAGCTCCAGCCAGCTGTAGTGGCTGCTTTGATTGCTTGGCCTCTCGCCGATGGGCTCCACACTCATTGCCAGTTGGTAAAGCTTTTGAATGCCACTCTCGAGGGGACCTGGGGTCAGGGAGCATCTCTTCAGAGGGGCCACAGCCGAAAGGATCCATGAACACCCAGGGAGAGGGCCTGAGCCAGTGACGCCCTTCCTCCCTCCTCTCTCCCAGGAGAACCACTACCGGCCCCCTGGCAGCCCCACCTGCCTCCTGTGTGACTGCTACCCCACAGGCTCTCTGTCCCGAGTCTGTGACCCTGAGGATGGCCAGTGTCCATGCAAGCCAGGCGTCATTGGGCGCCAGTGTGACCGTTGTGACAACCCTTTTGCTGAGGTCACCACCAACGGTTGCGAAGGTGGGGCTCCTGGGCTGGGTGGCAGCTCTCCCCATGGAGTGCCAGGCACCTGTGTCTCAGGCGGGGCAGGAGGGGATGCTGGGGAGCCTGGCAGGGCTGCGAGGGAGCACTGCTCCTAGTGACCATACGCTCTGCCCTGCAGTGAACTACGACAGCTGCCCACGGGCGATTGAGGCTGGGATCTGGTGGCCCCGAACCCGCTTTGGGCTGCCTGCTGCTGCCCCCTGCCCCAAAGGCTCTTTTGGTACGTACTGGAGGCCCCGGAGGTGAGGTTGAAGACATGGCATCCACTGTCAGTGGGGTGAGGGCAGGAAGCTCCTGGCTGCAGATCCAGGGCCCCCGTTCTGGCCTCTGGGCCCTGGAGATGCCACGTCTCATCCTCCTGGGCTCCTGTCCCCATCCCCTGCTGCCCAGGCATGCCTCCATCTTGAACTCTTAACAGAAGTGCCAAGCGGCCTGCATGGGGCTGGGCACGTGGCGGGTGCTGGAGACTCAAAGACATGTCACGCGGGTCCTGTCCTCAGCTTGCCACCCAGACTGGAGTTCTGCCTCCATGGAGACAGGCGGTCTGGGAAGCAGGGGGTATCGGGTGCTGTCTTAGGGGACCCAGCCCCACGATGGAGCTGGCACTGGTCCTCAGATTGGTTGTGAGCAGAATTCATAGGCAGGGAGGGAGTGGCAGAGGAGACGGGCAGCGGCTGCAGATGGGCAGTGCCGCCTGAGAGGCTGTCCAGGGAGGCCGCCCAAGGAGGCTACCCAAGGAGGCCATTGTTTGTGCCCCTGGCCTTGCTTGGACAGATCTTGCAGAGATTTGGCACCCCGTAGTTCCACGCGCCTGTCTTCCTGTTTCACCTGGGCTGCAGGAGGATGGGGCCCTTGTCTTCGGCATGAGGTGCCAACCTCCAGCTGAACCTCTCAGCCTGTCTCAGGGCATCCTGTGTGTCCCCCAAGTGCCAACCCTCTCGACTTCCTTCCTCTAGGGACTGCTGTGCGCCACTGTGATGAGCATAGAGGGTGGCTCCCCCCAAACCTCTTCAACTGCACGTCGGTCACCTTCTCAGAGCTGAAGGGCTTCGTAGGTGGACCCCATGTCTCCATCTTCTCTTCCTCCCATTGCCCCAAGTTTCACTTGGCCCCGCCTGCATCTTTGGGAAAGGAGACTGGAGTTCTAGCCTCTGTGCCCTGAGGCTGGTTGGGCATAGAGGTCATTGCCCTCCTTCCCGAGGCCTTTTGCCTCCGAGTTCCGGGTTCCAGGCTCCCATCCTGACCCCATGGCCCTCCCACACTCCCGACCCGACTCTGTGTTCTTCCACCCTTCCTGTCCTGACCCCGTGACCCTCCCACACTCCCGGTCCGACTCTGTGTTCCTCCGCCCTTCCTGTCCTGACCCTGTGGCCCTCCCACCCTCTCTTCCGGACCCCGTGGCCCTTCTGCCCTCTTGTCCTAACCCCATGGCCCTGTGTCCCTCCTGTTCCGACCCTGTGGCCTTTGCCCCTCCTGCCCAGGCTGAGCGGCTACTGCGGAATGAGTCAGGCCTAGACTCGGGGCGCTCACAGCGGCTGGCTCTGCTCCTGCGCAACGCCACACAGCACACAGCCGGCTACTTCGGCAGCGACGTGAAGGTGGCCTACCAGCTGGCCACACGGCTGCTGGCCCACGAGAGTGCCCAGCGGGGCTTCGGGCTCTCTGCCACACAGGATGTGCACTTCACCGAGGTGGGGCTGGGGGGAGCCAGGGCTGGCCGCTTAGGCGGCCATCACATGGGCTGAGCCTGCTCCCGGCGACCTGGGGGCAGAGAGGCGGCGCTCCCCGCCCCACCTTCAAGGAACTCCCCTGAGCATGAGGCCCCCACAAGATCCCGTGAGCCGTGGCCCAGCACATGGGTGATCTGGAACACGTCTTCCCAGCCCTTTCCATATTCAGGTGCCCCCAGGAAAGAACTTCTGTCCTGGGGCATGGCCTGACCCGAGCAGAGGCCCACCCCAATGCCTGTCCCAGGGCCTGAGAGGAAGCAGCATCTCAGGAATCTGTGCGGGTCCAGGCTCAGGGCTGAGATTAGCAGAGAGGGAGGAAGAGGGGTTGGGGTCAGAGCGTCTGGCGCCCGGAGCGGGCAGTGTGGCCCCCGCGGGCTTTCCAGGGGAGACGGTGGTGACTGCTGAGGGAGGGGCACGGTGGGTGGCAAGCGAGGGCTGGCCTGGGCACAGGCTGGGCGTGGTGGTGGGGTGGCAGGTGGGGTGACAGGCACACCCACGGTGACCATGCCCACCCCAGAATCTGCTGCGGGTGGGCAGTGCCCTGCTTGACGCAGCCAACAAGCGGCACTGGGAGCTGATCCAGCAGACCGAGGGTGGCACCGCCTGGCTGCTTCAGCACTACGAGGCCTATGCCAGCGCCCTGGCCCAGAACATGCGGCACACCTACCTGAGCCCCTTCACCATCGTCACGCCCAACATCGGTGAGGCTGCTGCCTGGGCTGGGGAGGGGTTTGTGGAGGAAGGCCCCTTACCTCAGGGCAGCCACGTGGGGCCTGCCTGCTGCGTGGGCTTGACCTGTGGCCACACCCCTCCCCAGTCATCTCCGTGGTGCGCCTGGACAAGGGGAACTTCGCGGGGGCCAAGCTGCCCCGCTATGAGGCTCTGCGCGGGGAGCGGCCCCCGGACCTGGAGACCACAGTCATTCTGCCCGAATCTGTCTTCAGAGGTCAGTGGGGGCCCCGGGGTGGGTCTCCACAGAGGGCAGGGCTCAGCTGAGTGTGACCACGTGCCCTTCCCAGAGACGCCCCCTATGGTCAGGCCTGCGGGCCCCGGAGAAGCCCCGGAGCCGGAGGAGCTGGCTCGGCGGCAGCGGCGGCACCCAGAGCTGACCCAGGGTGAGGCTGTGGCCAGTGTCATCATCTACCGCACCCTGGCTGGGCTTCTGCCCCACAACTATGACCCCGACAAGCGCAGCCTGAGGTCAGTGGTCGGGGTCCAGGGCGGGCGGGGGGGGGATGCGTGTCATGCTGAGGCACGGAGGGGCCGGGGGCAGGGGCGTCTCCAAGTCCTGCGGCTGCCCTGGTGACTGTGCACCACATCAGGGTCCCCAAACGCCCGGTCATCAACACGCCTGTGGTGAGCATCAGCGTCCATGACGACGAGGAGCTGCTGCCCCGGGCCCTGGACAAGCCGGTCACGGTGCAGTTCCGGCTGCTGGAGACGGAGGAGCGCACCAAGCCCATCTGCGTCTTCTGGAACCATTCCATCCTGTGAGCCGCACTGCCCTTCCCCTGAGGCCCGGCCTCCACGCCCCTGCCTCCCTGACCCCGCCTTCCTCATGCAGGGTCAGCGGCACAGGCGGCTGGTCAGCCCGAGGCTGTGAAGTTGTCTTCCGCAACGAGAGCCACGTCAGCTGCCAGTGCAACCACATGACCAGCTTCGCCGTGCTCATGGACGTGTCGCGGCGGGAGGTGGGCCGTGAGGCGCCGCGCAGACCGGGAGTGGCAGCCTGGGACTCGGGGCTGGTGCTCAGCCTGCCCTTCCTAAGCCCCAGCCTCTGCCGCCCTCCCTGCAGAATGGGGAGATCTTGCCGCTGAAAACACTCACATACGTGGCTCTGGGGGTCACCCTGGCCGCCCTGCTGCTCGCCTTCTCCTTCCTCACCCTCCTGCGTGCCCTGCGCTCCAACCAGCACGGCATCCGCCGGAACCTGACCGCTGCCCTGGGGCTGGCTCAGCTGGTCTTTCTCCTGGGAATCAACCAGGCCGACCTCCCTGTAAGACATCCCCACTGCCCAGAGGCCTTCAGGCTCCCAGCCCTGTTGCCCCCGGGGCTCCTTCCCCGCCCCCGCCCGCAGTCCCAGCTCCTGCAGCGGAGCCCCAGTCGGAGTCCAGCCCTGCACCTGGCCCAGGCTTCCTCGTCTCCAGCCCCCTCGAGTCCCAGCAGCCCAGAGGCCCGGCTTCCCCTGAAGCAGCTCCTGACTCCCAGGCCCTCCTCCCCTGCCCGACCCAAAGCAGGGCCCCTGCCCCGGTGTGCCCTGCTTGCTGACTGGCGTGGCCTGGGCCCTCAGTTCGCTTGCACAGTCATCGCCATCCTGCTGCACTTCCTGTATCTCTGCACCTTCTCCTGGGCTCTGCTGGAGGCCTTGCACCTGTACCGGGCGCTCACGGAGGTGCGCGATGTCAACGCGGGCCCCATGCGCTTCTACTACATGCTGGGCTGGGGTGTGCCCGCCTTCATCACAGGTACCTCCACCCCTTCCCTGGCCTTGGCTTCCCCATCCCCAGGCCCGGGCTCCACTTTCATGCGGTGTTCTCCCCACCCCCATCCCAGGTCCCACATCCCTGTACCTCAGGCCGGCTTATTCGTAGGTCACCCTCTGGTTTGGGGGCTGATTTTTTTGTGAAACAGGATCTCGCTCGTTGCCCAAGCTGGAGTGCAGTGGCACAATCACGGCTCCGCATAGCCTCCACCTCCTGGGCTCAGGCGGTCCTTCCACCTCAGCCTCTTGGGTAGCTGAGACTACAGGGGCAAGCCACCATCCCTGGCTAATTTTTGTATTTTTTGTAGCGACACGGTCTCACTATGTTGCCCAGGCTGGTCTTGAATCCTGCCTTGGCCTCCTAAAGTGCTGGGATAACAGGTGTGAGCCACCATGCCCAACCCTACTCTCTGGTTTCATCCAGACTCTGAGGCCGCCACTTGGGTCGGTCAAGGACATTATGGGCAGTCTTCTCCGTGCTCCTTTCCTGGCTCTGTGAGCCGGCCTACCTGCCGCCCGGCTTCCCAAGCCCCTGACCGCCCCTCCCCATGGCTGTCTCCATGCTTCCAGGTCTAGCCGTGGGCTTGGACCCCGAGGGCTATGGAAACCCCGACTTCTGCTGGCTTTCCATCCATGACACCCTCATCTGGAGTTTCGCTGGCCCAGTGGCCTTCGCTGTCTCTGTGAGTGCTGGGGAGGGGGCTGGGAGGGAGCAGGCTGGGTGTGTGCTCAGGGCCCCCTTAGGAGCAGCGGAGGCTGCGCCCCGCGGGCCGGGTGGAGGCTGTCTGTCCCCGATGGCAGCCCTCACGCTCTCTCTGCCGCCTAGATGAGTGTCTTCCTGTACATCCTGGCAGCCCGGGCCTCCTGTGCCGCCCAGCGGCAGGGCTTTGAGAAGAAAGGCCCAGTGTGAGTATGGGCCGGGGCGCCTGGGCGGCGGGGCGGGCCTCGGGGTGGGAGGCCGCAGGCCAGACTGGTGACCCGGCCTGCCCTTAGCTCGGGCCTGCGGCCCTCCTTCGCCGTCCTGCTGCTGCTGAGTGCCGCGTGGCTGCTGGCGCTGCTCTCCGTCAACAGCGACACCCTCCTTTTCCACTACCTCTTCGCCGCCTGCAATTGTGTCCAGGTGCCTGGCCCGCCAGGGAGGGTGGGGGCGCGTGGGCGGTGGGCGCCCGAATGCACACAGACCGGCTGCCTCTCGCCTTCCAGGGGCCCTTCATCTTCCTTGCCTACGCGGTGCTTAGCAAGGAGGTTCGGAAAGCACTCAGGGCCGCCTGCAGCCGCAAGCCCAGCCCCGACCCTGCTCTCACCACCAAGTCCACCCTGACCTCGGTGAGGGCCGGGGCCTGGGTGGGGAGGCGCCGGAGGGAGAGGCAGGAGGCCACAGAGCCTGTTCTTTTTGCCCCCCCACCGCCCTTCTCCAGCCCTTCCCAGAAGGGGATGGGGCGAAGCGGCATGTGTGGGTTGAGGGCAGATGCTGGCAGGACCGGATTTTAACCCGGGGGAGATGGGGCTGGAGACAGGTCATCGGTCAGGAATGCACAGCGCTTTGTCTCCCAGGACGCTCTCGGGAGACAACCTTTCGTGCCACCTTTCACCAAGCTATGGTACGGTGAGGCCAGGATGCTTGGGCTGGCAGGGTGGGCACAGCTACAACAGGGCTGTGACCACTGCCAGGCCTCAGCATAGGGGCAGCAGAGACGTGGATGCCCCTTCTTTCAGACCTGGGCACGAGGGAGGAAGCACTGAGGGCGAAGTCCCTGTATCCTTCCCCTTCTCAACCCTGGCCCGCCACCTCCCACACCCCCCACCCGCCCTGCTTTTCTCTCCTAGTCCTACAACTGCCCCAGCCCCTTCGCAGACGGGCGGCTGTACCAGCCCTACGGAGACTCGGCCGGCTCCCTGCACAGCACCAGCCGCTCGGGCAAGAGTCAGCCCAGCTACATCCCCTTCTTGCTGAGGTAAACTCCAGGGATGGGAGGATCGAGGAGGGAAGGGGGACCCTGCGTGCCAGACCCAGGCCAGCCAGCTGCAGGGAGCTGGGTGGCACCACCGCTGGCATGAGGAAGAGCTGGAATGAGAAGCACAAGGGACCCAAAGCAGGAACTAGGATCCCAGGGAGAAAAGAGATGGATCTGGGGGCGGCCAGGCCGACCCCTCTGGCATGGTCTTGTCGTCCTAGGGAGGAGTCCACACTGAACCCTGGCCAAGGGCCCCCCGGCCTGGGGGACCCAGGCGGCCTGTTCCTGGAAGGTCAAGCCCAGCAGCATGGTGAGGACAGGAAGCCCTGGCTGCCCAGCGGGCAGCTGGCTGGCTGTTGCTGGGGTGGGTGGCGGTGAGTGGGCTGGCTGTGATCTCTCTCTGGGCTCCCAGATCCCGACACGGATTCTGACAGCGACCTGTCCCTGGAAGATGACCAGAGTGGCTCCTACGCCTCCACCCACTCGTCAGACAGCGAGGAGGAGGAAGAGGAGGCGGCGGAAGAGGCGGCCTTCCCTGGAGAGCAGGGCTGGGACAGCCTGCTGGGGCCTGGGGCTGAGAGGCTGCCCCTGCACAGCACCCCCAAGGGTGGGCAGTGCCAGGGCTGTGGCCTCCCGGCGGGAGGGCGGGCCCGGCCTCCTGGG